AGCAGACTCACGCTGACTCTCACGCAACGCACGCTTGGGCCGCTCACCACGAAAACGACTCGCGGCCGGGCGCGGGCGCGAGGTTTCCGGAACGGTTCCGGACGGTTCACGGTTCCCCCCAGGCGAGTGACGGATGTGATGCGCTACGAGAGGAACACCTCGTGCTGTTGCCAATTGGCCCGGACCCATGGCCAACGGGATGGCGGACGCCGATCGAGGACGCCGATCGTGTTAATAGGTGTTGAACGCTGTTAGCCGTCACAAATAGAACTCCCCGTAATATCCTACCTGTAGACAAGCAAAACAGTATGATTGTTAGAAGTTTAAGAGACTACATAAGTTGTTACCAACACCTTCATGTTGGGGTCACCTGGCTGGTTTCGCCCCAGGAACCTCCAGACAGGACACCCCTTTTTCAGGTCCTGGTATGTTTTGGCAACACCAGCGGATCGGTGGCGCATTGCCATTCATTCGACCAGCGGTGTGCACTATACGATTGACACCTGAATTGTCCTGTTGAAGAATCATATGTTCATGTGCAGGATCAAGACTGCAGACCATCGATTTGGCAGAAGCAAGACGCTTTTTCAGACTGAGTCGAGTCAGGACGAAGTTTTCGCATGCCTTTGCTCGAAATGCCGGTCTCGCTTGTCAAGATCCTCCGTGGTCACGAAAAGACGCGCTGACGTGCGTCGAACAATGCCCAAGAACTCCACCGTTCGGTGACATCTCCAAGCTGTTTCGGGGCCCGAGTGCTCCGTACACACTCCACCGGTTGGAGCGAGAAGGACCAGGAGAAGAATGCGCCGCCACGTGCGCCAGACGGAGGTGCGTTTGGAACTTCAAGCATCGCCTTCCCGACCTGGTGCTTATTGTTGAATCCCCTGTTGATGGTGTGTTGTTGTTGGTGTTGGCGTTGTGTTGGCGAACCTGTGCGGGGCATGCAGTTTTGAACTTGGTGTTGTGTTGGCGAACTTCTACTGTGTTTGCGATGTTTCTGGGTGCAATACTGGCTGTCAACTGCTTTTGCCCTCTTGTGCTGTTGGCCGCCTGCAGCTGCTGCCTAACCCACAACGAAGGACGTGCCAGATGTGTTTTGTGGCATGGCCCGATGTTTTTGATCTTGGGCCCAGTGCTATCTTACGTTTGCTCTGAGAATGGTTGGATTTCCTCCAGCCAAGGATGGCATTCTACCTCGCAAGCTTATGCCATTGCCCTCGCAGCTTAAGATGAGTGGCACTGCGCAGGAAGCAAGTGAGTCTGAGCGGCAGCACCGGCAGCATCAGCCTGACCAGTTCAGGACTGGTCTGAGAGTCGGCCTCAGGGTGCTGAAGAGCATTTGAATACAATGGATCCACAGTCTGTCAAATCGGACTACTGTTTAAACATGTTATACAAGGCAATGAGTGAACGTTTTGAATGTAGATTGTACCATATTGTACCTTGAATTGGACTCAATGGTTTTGCTTTGCACACTGTTCAAAGAATGCGATTCCACCAATGTCAACCAATCCTTGGCCCAACCCTGCAAGAACTCCCCGTACCCGTGGTAATCGAGCAAACACCGCAAACATCGAGCACTCTGAAAGTCTTCATATCAGGGGTACTTTAACTCCGCTTGACTTTCTACATGTCGTACTGTTACAGTTGTTTTTTTTGGGGGGGTCGTGATCCTCGAAGCAGAGAATCCGAGGATTGAGACTCAGGACTCAGGACCGAATCCTACCACCACTGCTCCGGTGCGCCTCAGTGTTCAACAACAAACCCAACCATTTGCATGGCACGAACATGCTGAACACTTCAGGTCCTCATGGTGGTCCTCCTTTGCTGCGTGGGCTTCATCTTCCATCAGCTTACCTGACCAGACGTGGCTGGTCTGGCACCGCGCGCACAGTGCGGTGCGGAGGTTGGGAGCCACGGCTCCGACCGCCTGAAGTCCATAACGCCAGGGAGCATTCACTTTGGGAGTCGGTCAGACTATCAAAAGACTGGTCTGACGAGGGCAGGGGACCTGATGAAAGGGAACTTCCTGAACACTTCAGCCAGTCAAAATATAGTCGAACTGGACTTCTAGGGTTCAGTTAGGAAACATGTGTGCATAATGTATACACTATAGTATAGTGCTAGGTATATTATATTAATTACGATAAAGTATGATTAATTAGTGTGTTTCAAAAACTTTTGAGGTTATCTCAATGTCTCAAAATTACGCTTGTTGAGATATTCGATGTTTTATGGTCCTGGATTTCACGCAATGCACGAATTGATGTTTGGTCAACGAAACAGAAATCATCATCTTGTTGCTGAGCAGTTGGTCAACCGCAGAGAGCTGGATGCCCAAGACTTCCGGTCTTGGTCCACAATCCATCATCCGGTAGAGCAACCCGTGAGGAACTCATGAGCAACCGTAACACTGTTTTTGTTGGTGAAGAAACGCGTATTGGTCAATGCTACTTTATATGTCGGTCATCGAGTCATCCAAACCCCAGAGCTTTACATGGCAATCATTCGCCCAAAAAATGCAACACTTCCCTTCAGAGGCGCCCATCAAATGTTTGTCATGCTCCTTCTGCACACCTTGGCCCACTTGTACAGCATCCGGCGCCAAACCGTTGCAAAGTGAAAAGAGAGCGAAGGCGGTTTTCGACAGGTGCAGTTCAGTCGGCATCATGCCGTCGGCATCATCCACATCCCATGCACATCCCATGCAGACCTAAGAGAAGACCTAAGAGAAGCCCTAAGAAGAAACGGAATAAGACCTTCCTCCATGCTTCTCTCTCAAAACGGAATAAGACCGAAGACCTAAGAGATGGAAGCTGTGATGTTTGGAAGCCGGGTGCTGAGATCTGTTTTGACGCTGGGAGACAACTGAGAAGTGCAAATGCATGGGTTGAATTGTAGCAACGAAAAGACATCCAATTCTGTAAAACAGACACAGCTTAATCGGCTTAATCTTGTTCAAAGAAATGGGCCTGCTGAGGGTTCCCGCCTTCAATGTCGGAGTTCAGGACAGGATAGGAGAAGATAGAGAGGGGAAGAAACTGGACGACTGTTGCAGATACTGCAACATATCTCGGTCATAAAGTTGTGCAAAGTTACGCAATGTGGGGAAGGAGAAGGAAAGGAGTTTCATGGCCGATTCTGATATGACGCTGATGGCCGTGAACCTTTTACAGAGTTGGTGAGCAAAGATCGCCTCCAACCTAAGAGCAATGGCCTCCAAAGCTTGGCTCAAGGCAATCCAAGAAGGGTTTGACGTCATGAATCATGACTTGTTTGACGTATTGGTTGACTCTCATTCCAAATGGTGACACAGAGCAAACACACGCAGCTTCGAAGCTGTGGAAGAATACCATTTGGTCACAGACACTAGATGTCCAATGAAATCTTTGCATACACACTGACCCCAACACCACCAATGTAATGGATTATTTCCAGGACCTTCAAAGTGACCTCTTTGGAGTCTCTAAGTGACCTTGTACAGACCTAAGTGACCTCATCCTGGGATATCAAAGGGTCACTTTGAAGGTAGTCATGTTGTATCCACGCTTGCTCCAGTGGACTCTAGCTCAGCGCTTGCTCCAGTGGACTCTCGCCTGGGAGAAACTTCTCACAGGCTCCCGTTTCTCCTGGGTCGTCGTGGAATGTTTCTCCTCCTGGCTCCGGTTGCTTCGAGAGTTCAATGATCCAACACAGCAGTGCAACGGCATACATTTATGCTTTGGTGATGTAGATCATTTGGAGATCGTGAAGCAAAATTGTATCAATTTCTTGCGAAGAGAAACGATGTATCCAGTGGTAGCCCGGAAGGGCTGCGCTCCTTTCTTGCAGTTTTAGGAAAGGACCTCCCGCGGGAGCGCTGCGACGATCGCAGGCCACCCATCCAGTGACAAGTGGAGGTTCGAGGTTCGGGGCCTGAGTGAGGAATAGGACGAACATTCGAAGCCACTTTCGAGAGTTGCGGATAGTTGGTAATTAAATAACACGCTCGCATGTTTTCAGGTATACTGGATGTTTCAATGAACACGCTTGTCCACTTTGGAAACGCGGCACTTTACCGGCTCAAGCCCTCTGGGACGAAACGGGCGAGGCGATTTCGGGGAAAGGCGCGTTCGGTCGTCCTGCGCGGGGTCGGAGTCTGGTGTGGAGTCTGACCTAGGGAGGTTTGAATGGAAGATGCGAACGTAAGAATGCCACTATAGTAGTAATGCCAGGAGCCCCGTTCGTAGCTTCTTGTCACTAGTCCCTTCCCTTTGCCAAGGGACTCTTGTTTTGAGGAAACTTATGGCCTCAACTGATCGCCTTGGGTGCCATGGACATTTCAGAAGAACAGGTCACGTAACGGTCCCCATGGTCATTGGGAGCGACCGGTTCATTTGGGCGCTCTTAGGGTTCAGCAGCCGAACCCATTGAAGATGGCAGCCGTGATCCGTGATTCTTCGATTCGAATCGACGCCCAAACACGAATTGTTCGATAAAAAACATCCCACAACGGAGCAAGAAATGATGAAATCCTTACAGGACCCTAATTATAGAGAGTCCGGTGTGGAGTCCCAATAGGGAGACCCGAACGGACAAAAAATTCTGGGCGACGATAATGACAAGACGAATCATTGATAGATGATTGGAATTGTCATATACACACCCAGATACATTTCCTTATTTAAAAAAGTAAAAAAACACATGAAAAAACCCAACACGTGTTCGAGTGGTGTGCGTTCATGTTTTTCGGCAAAAACCACGTACCTTCAGTCTTTCACCGGCGCACCAGGCTGGTTCCGAGAATGGAAGGCGTGTCGTGTCCGTTCGCGGACCCTTCGATGATTTGAGCACAAAAGTCTTCAGGTTCCATGCAGGAACTCTTAAGTTGGCCATGGCTTTGTCCAATTTGTTTTTGTTATGTTTTCTATTTTTGTTCGGTCTTTAGCCTTTAGCCATGTTTTTAGCACTTTGTCCCTTTCATGCCTGGCTTGATTGATGTCGGTGTCCTGCTCGGAGGCATGATGATGGTTCAAGTTGTGCCTGTCTTCGTTCAAGTGGTGCCAGGCGTGGTTCGAGTTGACGTTGACCCAGACCCGTCAGACTGGTTCGACTCAAGATTGAGTGGCCTCCATTCATCTCATTCATCGTAGTTGAAACGTGTTCTTCATTCGCATTCATTCCTCACATGGCCTGCAACCCCGCCCAGTCGTCGCCTGCCGTTCCAGTGATTTGGACCGGCGCCGTCCCAGCCAGGTGCACCGATGGAGCCGGCGGAAGTGGCCCCGGCCATGGAAGACGTTGAGCAACCCTTCAGTGGGTCGCCCCCAGGGGAAGGCGAAGGCGAAGAGAGTTCCAGCTCTGAAACCGCCAACGGGTTGGTGGGAACAGTTTGGGAAGGGGTAGACAGTCCTGGTATTACAAACGGACATCAATACAGGTGTCTGTCGGACAGTCGGTGCCGTGTCTCTGTTGTTTGCAGTTGTGGGTCCGAGGAGAGGCTCCACCTACTAAGTAGCCTTCTCTGACTCGTTCCTGTCAGCTGCAAAGACCGGTCGTATAGCTTACAGGTGAAACGATTCCCGGTCGCAAGGGCTCGACCTTCGTGTGCTGAGGTTACCATCAGGCCGAGAGCTGCGGAGTGGACGGGAACGTCGCGTCGCTGACGGTGCGAAGCAGCTGTATTTGTATCGTTCTATAGAGCAGAGCTGCTACTGCAGCTTATGTTTGCTTCTTTTGTGGTATCGGCTGGGAAGGCCCAGTGGCTGCCATGGATTTCAACTTGCATACTTAGGTGAACCCTGTGCCTGCTAAGTACTTAGAAAGGTTGTCTGAGTTAACTAGATATATGTTAGACATATGTTAGATGTATGTTAGAAGTATGCTATATACATGCTAAATGGTTAGGGCCTTTAAGAAGGTTAGCTAAAAGAAAAAACAAGTTAGGCTAAACTTGTTAACTCTGCTAACTTTTAGCAGGTGGTTAGCTCAAAAGTTAACTAAGTTAGCTCAAAAGTTAGCTAAGTTAGGCATTATGTTTTCAATCATCTAATATATATTTTTTTGGCAACCACTCAGTATGTTTCTTTCGTTGGTGTAGTTGTTTGCTCAAAAAAAAACATTTGTAAGAATGCGAAAAACTTACCAGAGAAGTGAAATACCGCAAGATCAGCAAACAGTCTTTATATACAATATGATTCATTTTTTTTACACCACCAAGCTGAAAGCAATCAACAGCTATCATAATGATATTTTTTTTAAAGGCCAGCGCTGCTAATTAAAACTATTTGCGCTGCTCTTTTTTTTGCCAGCAAGCTTTAATGGGCTTTTGGAAGCATTGCCTTTTTTTTGGCAAGCATTGGTTGTTTTTTTTGGTGAAGGTGAGAATTGAGGAAGCAAACTCTAATGACTAAAACTGTGGACAATATATTGGTGAAAAGTTGAAGGTAAGGAACAGCATTTGATGACTAAAGCCGTGGACCAAAACTGTTTGGTGAATGAAAGAAAGAAAAGCCTAAGGACTAAAAAAGTGGACAAAACAATTTTGGTGAAAGAAAGTAAGGAAACAAAACCTAATGGCTAAAGCTGTGGACCAAAAAATTTTGCTGAAGGAAAGTAAAGAAACAAAACCTAATGGAAAAAACCGTCGACAAACATTTTTTGTTAAGGAAAATAAGGAAGTAAAGCCTAATCGAGAAAACTGTGAACAGAACGTGTTTAACGTTTTGGAGAAGGAACGTAAAGAAACAACACCTGATGACTAAAACAGTCGACAAAAATTGTCGGTGAAGGAAAGTAAGGAAGCACAACCTAATGACTAAAACTGTGGATCAAAAGTTTTTCGGTGAAGAAAAGTAAGGAAACAAAAATGACTAAAACTGTCTACAAAATGTTTTGGTGAAGGATATTAAGGAAGCAAAACCTAATGACTAAAAGTGTGGACAAAAATCTTTGGAGAAGTTAAGGACGCAAAATCCAATGACTAAAACGGTCGACAAAAATTGTTGGTGAAGGAAAGTAAGGAAACAAAACCTAAT